GTCCGCGCGCAGCCGCGGAAGCGCCGCGGGGCTCCCCGCTTCCCCCGCGGGAGGTGGCGCTGCCCGCAGCAGCGACCGGGCCGCGCCGCAGGCTGCCTGCTGGGGCCGACACGGCGTCAAGGTCTGGCAGCTGCTGCTCATCTCTCCTTTGAGGTCCCCTAAAGCTCACAGCCAGAGAACACTGATGGGGAAGCGCTCTCACATACCAGGCACTCGCATCTCTGAAAAGGTCCCAGAAAACGCAGAAATGGAAAATTTCACTTCCCTGGGAACGCTTCTTGAGTATTGCTGCTCTTTGTGAGCTCGCCTTGGCAAGTGAAGTCCTGTTGGAAGCTTTAAGGTTTACTCGGTCACTAACTGAGCATCCCGAAGGATGTGTTTTGTGATTAAATCAAAGTATACAACAATCCCCTCAGTTTAATTTTTCTAAGAATAAGAAAGTGAAGATTGGAAATACTTAAATGAACTAAAAGAAAACAAAGCCTTGTAAGAAGTTTATTTTTCTGCACTGTGTGGCCATTATACAAAGTAAGCAGCCAGAGCTGCCATTTTGTCCTTGGGTTTCTTTGGATTGGGTCTTCCTCCAGGCCTGCGGCCTTTCCCCCGGCCCCGGCCTTGCCTTTTCCCCTGTCCCCCGCGGTGCATGGGGTGCCTCATGGCTGCGTGCTTCAGCTCCACCAGATCTTGAAACACAGGGTCACAGAAGACGCAGCCCGAATGCTGGGTCTCGTCCCCGGGCAGGGGAGACTTGGCCTTGTTGAAATCTACGTCCACGAGGGCTGCATCGCACGAGTCGCAGGTCTCGGGTGACACGCGGACTTTGTGGGCGTTCTCGAAGAAGTGCACGATCACGTTGCACTTGTTGCAGGCCATCTTCCACTTGGGCCCCGACGTGGAGTCCAGCACCAGGACCCCGTTCTCGCATTCGACGCACTGCCCGATTCCAAGCATGCTCAGGGAGTGCTGGCACGTGGGGTGGGTGCACTCGTTACAGCCCATTCCTGGGGAGAGGAGAGAGCAGAACTAGACCATGAGAAACCCTCCACACCAGCACGGTCCCTTTGGCAGGAAGTGAGACACAGAACTGAAAGACAGTGTAGCATGGTTTATGCTTTCTCAATCATTACAAAACAGCATCACTCTACAAAAGGCAATCGCCTTTTCACAAATCCAGAATATTCTCCAAAATGTTTCTATAATGGTTTTCAGCAGTGCCAGACAATGCCATTGCACACTATAGGCACTATAAGACTATATAAGACTATAAGACTATACTAATGTTGAAGACACACATTTCCAATGAAATGTAGGGCTCCTAACTAACTGTTGTTTCGTTTCATTCTTAGTCTAGATGCTATTTGCACAAGATGTCGGAAAGCTCCAATAGCCAGAGCTCCTAAGCCTTCGGTTTTGACTCAGTTACCAGACTAACTGCAACTTTCTTACCTTCCTACCTCCTTTCTTGCCAATGGCATTTGACACAGTATCCAAACAGGACTGTCCCACTCGCAGACCAGACCTTATGCTACAGTCCCATACACGTACCAAGCACCCCAAGATCTGCAGCTTAAACTTGTCAGACTCAGTGTCTTGCACTGTATACTGAGCATTAGGAAGGTCACCTACTGCACATGAAAAAAAAGTTAAATCTCCTGTTTGCTTTATGTAGCCTGCAGTGGTCCTTTCAACAATTTGAGTAGGGAGTTTTTATAAAAGCTTAGAAATACAATTATATGACTAGCAATAAAGAGCTGTGTTTTACCTTTCCACATTAATGATTTTAGAAAGAGACAACTTTAAAAACAATATATCTTGTAATACTTGATTTATGCACAAAACCCTAGCCGTTTTAGTGAAAACAGCTTTTAGTAGATTCCAAGCTACCAAAATAACAAGATTAATTTTAAACTGAACAGTCTATTTCTTTTCCTGGCTGGTGGAAAATGAACTAAGAGTAGCATCTCTCAGCTTCAATAAAGTGTACAGGGAAATTTCACACACAAAAATGAACATTAAAAACCCTGTAAGACAGAGATTCATTAGAGAAATCCTATTAGGTCTCAAGCCCAGAAATTTACTATGCAGAATTAATATTCTCTTAAA